TCACGAGACTTGATTCCTTCTTCAGTGTATGACTACGCATCCTTAGCTAACGAATTAACCATCATTTTACAAACTTTATTCACTTGCTTCGGATGATGATTCAGTGTTTTAAAGTTTTTATTTGAAGAATGTTGCCTCTGAGTCAGCTACATAAGAGGGTGATCGCGAAGATCCAGTCATCGCTGGGCACTAGGCTGTGTCATCCCCGCGTCTGACTCATATCCTTGCTCACTACTGGCAGTTCACTGCAGGTTACTACATTCGATCCGTACTGTACGCAAAGCATTTGCGGTGTAAGATTTTCAACGTAACGGCTTGTCACCGATATCACTTAAAGCAGCAGTTATTTGTTTAGGGAGCGGCCCTGGAGTCGTGCCCTTTTTAATGTCACGTAGTGCACAGAGAGGTGCCTTGATCGGCCATCTAGCCATCTGATGTTTTTGTTTTCTTAATGAAATTTTACATCAGTGTTTCATTTTGTGTAACAGCTAAACAGTGAGCTGAAATACAATTTTAAGCACTTGAGCAATAAGTATATCCATCTTGTAAAAACAATTTTTAAAAATTCTATTAACTGTATGATATATTTTTTTTAAACTTACTTTTTCTCTGACTAAAATTAATTTAATATGTTTAAGCAACAGTGTCAAATAACTGTATAGGCAATATGAAAGTTCCACAATTTTTGTGCATTAAAAGAAGACAATTTAACATCAACATCTTAATCATAGAAGGTATTTTTAAATATCACCAGCTTATTCTTGGTTTTAAAGTTCTTCATAATTTGTGTCACCCCCACATTATTGTTCATAGGAGTGAGCCTTGTGAGTGCAGGCTTGTTCACTGGAAAACCAAAAGCAATATTTTTCTTAACTCTGCTTTTGTGTCCTTTCCCAGACTCTGGGAAGAACTACCGTACCTCCTTTACTTCAAAACTCTGTTAATGTTTCCTCTTTTAAAAATAATTTAGTTAAGCATCTTATATCGTTTTATATTTCTGATTAATTTTGATTTTTTTTTGTACTACTGTAATGTATTTCATATATGAAGGATAGGGAGCATATCTTGTTTGGGCTTTTGCCTATTCCCTATCCAGGCAATACATGTTGTTTCAATTCTGTATACTTTTTGCAAATATTATTACTATTATAACAATGATAATTTAAAAAAGTTAATTATGAATGGAAATAAATGTCTGTCCTATTATCCTTTAATATTATTTTTAATTCAGGATATAGAAATAAAATTAATATAAAGAAATTACTATATTTACACCAGTAGCACTGTTTGTACACTGTAGTAATTGATCCTATTTATATGCTCAATCATATAGTAAAATTCAGACAGGCAGAAAGTGAGAGATAGGAAACAGATAGAGAGATCAATAGATCAAATACACAATCATTTCAAAGCTGTATAATTTTGTTATGATATGATGAGTCTTTGCTGACAAACAAGGATGGAACAGTTTAGATAATTATGTTAAAGTGTAATCACCCACTCTATTATGGAAGTATAAATTATATATGTTATGAGTTTTTGGCCATCAAGGTGTGTAGAGACTACTGTATTTTAAGAACTATTTATTAGATTTAAGAAGCCTCGCTAAAACAACACATTGTCATTTTATAATTACGTATGTATTTAAATTTTCTTAATACCAAATCACAAACAACAATTTATGACAAAGAAAAGATATTGTGTAGTTTAGTAACTCGTTACTCCGCTTGTAATAATTTTCATCCTTTTAAACCTTTACAATTTGTTTAATTTTACTTTTTCAGTTAACATTCTTGTAATTTTCAATATAGTACCTAGACATATTTCATGTTAGAAATGATGTATTTTAACAAATTTCAATTCTTAGGAGGCTCTGTGTTTGATGACTTAGCTTTATTTCAGGTATTAACAAACTTTGTGTCATTAATAGTGACATTTCAAGTTCATGAATATACTGCTGCTATGAGTCTGCTAAATTAATAGGTGTTTTTATAGGCTTATCGAATCTCAATATAGGCCTATACACATACATACGTGCCAAGTTTGGGAGAAGTGCTGGCTTGAAAATTTTCCACGGAAGGGACTCAAATAGGCATGGGTCCAGCACCTACCTAGGGGCTGGAAATTGTTTTTGCCTAGAAGGTCTCTATTGCGCTGGTGTTACCCTGTTGCTATGGTCCATTTCAGGGTAACTTCATACTCTTCTGAAGGATGCAATTGGTTTATTAAAGTGCACACAAGTGAGATTTGTACACTGGGCCGCCTTCACTCCACATATTTGTACAAGCAGGTAACAGGTTATAAATGTTATATTTCTGCTATTAGGATGTTACAGGCACTTTTTTACTTTGTTTCATATTTTATTTTATTTATTGATTGTCTCCTTGCTTCCGGTGAGACTCCATCTGAGGTGCAGAAGCTTGTGTCAAAGCCTTCAACTTTGAAATTGACCTTGAATTTGGAAGAAGGAGTAGGCTGGGAAAGCAATGGTACAGGTAATCAAATATCAGAACCACATGTAACAAAAATCTCCTAGAATGATATCCTGCAATTGTATTAATAAAATGTTATATTCCTTACCCCTAACCTGATCTGTGACATCCATAAATTACTGCCTCAAATTGGAGATTTTTTTAGTTTGCATTTTGCAGTTTGAGTGAGTGAAACCCCAAATTTCTCCCCCACTTCTGTGTAACTAATCTATGGATTTCTTGTAAACCTGCAGGAGGAAATTAGCTGGGTAAATTATAACCAGTTTCTGTTCTCCAGTCAATTGTTAATATTATTTTCTTTGGCATACAAAGTAAAATAATACCATTCAAGATATATTAGGAGTGATGTTTTGCCTTATTTATTTTATTTTATTCAGTATAAAACCAACAGCGATGAAAACCGCCACTAACAGACGTGTTATCGTACTGAATACTCAGTACGATCCAAAATTCTTGTAAAGAAAATTTTGCAATTGATTTAGGTGGTTTAGAACATACAACCTCCAGATAACTAGCCTGGTGTCTTAACCGGGAGACCACTGAACCTGATGCAAAAAACAATAATGGTAGTCTGCTGATCAATATAAACTTATACATCATTTTAAATGAGCAATTCAATTTTTTTATTGAATTTGTTGGGGTTTTCTTGGATTTTAAAATATTTATTCAGGGCATTTTTTGAAAGACTTATTCTACTGGTGTAGAACATTACTTGAATGTGTTGAGAATGATGTTGCTTCCATTAGATTTGTTTATGGTCATTTTAGGGGCTGTTTATTTGAGGGAGGCATTTATTCCAAATGAGGCTCCAGAGGGGTGTTTATTCTAGGGAGTGTCTATTCAAGCGTGGCATTTATTCTAATGAATATGGCGCATAAATTTTTGCATGTTGCACTTGCTGGTGAATGTGAAAGAAATTCATTCTTAAGTTTTGATTATAATTATTAGTTTTCTAGGAAGCACATTGATGATTGAAATGTTTGTCAACATATTTACTTGTTTGAATGTGGTATAAGTCATTTGTGATCGGTTGAATCATATCCGTCAACTTCAAGATGAGGAAGAAGTAACGCTGTTGGTGCTGAGTCAACAAGCAGGTGATGTTGCGTGTTATTACATGAAGGATGTCTTACTTAATACGGATTAAATGCCTGGGAAATTAAGCATCAAGGGAATGCCGTTACTTAATTAGCACAATATCATCAGCAAGGTGGTGTTTGCATCAAAATTGCTGGTGGTGTTAGGTATGGGAAGGGGGAATGTTCCTTCATTTTAGGTTCTTGTGTCTAAATTTTGTAAGTAAATGATAAAGATCATAGAAACAACTGATAATTCTTTTTTTTTCTAAACTTTACCCTTCTACTACATTTCCTATTGCTATGTTCTTACTTTCTCCTTTATTCATTCCTTATTTATTTATTTTATTTTAGAGGATTTATATAGTGCACGTATCCAGAAAACTGCTCAAGGTGCTTTTTTCCTCTGTCACAATGCGCAACCTCCTCCGCTCCCGGGTAAGCATTCCTAGTTGTGCGTGTAATCAGCACTACTAATTTCATTCCGAATCATTCACCCAGGTACCCAGTTATATTCCTTGGTGAAGAGAGGCAGATGCAGGTAAGGCGTGTTGCCCAAGGATACAAACTGAGTGACGAGCTTCGGTCTTCATTGCCCGACATTCCGATTGAAAGTCCAATGCCTTACACACTGCGATGCGCCATTTCTTCTTTGCCATTCCGTCTACATTCTCTCTTCCTTTCTTAAGCTTCTACAGTACTTCTATCTTCACATTTTACTCAACATTTCCCCCAACATCTATTCTCCTTCCATTTACCCTTTTCTTCCCCCCTCTCCCCAACTCATCTTCCATTGTCTCATCAATCTTATTATCTTCTTTCCTGACCACTTTCACTCACATCTTTTCTTTTTCTTTTCCTCCCTTATCTGTCTCTCCACTGTAGAGGTTTACGGTATAGAATTATATTAGTAATTTTTTGTAAAATTTAATTTAATTTAATTTAATTGATATAGGGCCTAGTGTGATGGGCAACTCTCAATTTTCTTGTCAGTTTTGCGTATTAAATACATTTGGGTAGAAGTCCCCCTGTTGTTTGTTTCCTCTCAGCCCCAATTCAAAACAAATGTCCTTGACTACCAAAAATAATGCAAGATTTCCTAAACCAATTAAGTACAAAAATGGATGTGATGAATATTAAATGTGATGCGTGTACTTTAAAATATAAGTAACGGAAATAATGATGCTTATACAAATGTGAGTTGTTCTTTTATACAGTATTAGATAATTACTGGAGTTGAGACTCAAATCATATGAGGCTCCATCTGAATTACTGGGTATGTTTCTGATAACAGGAAGGAACCGTTCTTAAGAAGGGTTCGTTGTTGGCGAAACAGGGCCCACACCATTCTTTTTGGAAATCCGAAAGGAGGTTTCTTTTGCACAGTATAATACCTGTCTCTTATACACATCTAGATGTGTATAAGAGACAGACTCAGTACGATCCAAAATTCTTGTAAAGAAAATTTTGCAATTGATTTAGGTGGTTTAGAACATACAACCTCCAGATAACTAGCCTGGTGTCTTAACCGGGAGACCACTGAACCTGATGCAAAAAACAATAATGGTAGTCTGCTGATCAATATAAACTTATACATCATTTTAAATGAGCAATTCAATTTTTTTATTGAATTTGTTGGGGTTTTCTTGGATTTTAAAATATTTATTCAGGGCATTTTTTGAAAGACTTATTCTACTGGTGTAGAACATTACTTGAATGTGTTGAGAATGATGTTGCTTCCATTAGATTTGTTTATGGTCATTTTAGGGGCTGTTTATTTGAGGGAGGCATTTATTCCAAATGAGGCTCCAGAGGGGTGTTTATTCTAGGGAGTGTCTATTCAAGCGTGGCATTTATTCTAATGAATATGGCGCATAAATTTTTGCATGTTGCACTTGCTGGTGAATGTGAAAGAAATTCATTCTTAAGTTTTGATTATAATTATTAGTTTTCTAGGAAGCACATTGATGATTGAAATGTTTGTCAACATATTTACTTGTTTGAATGTGGTATAAGTCATTTGTGATCGGTTGAATCATATCCGTCAACTTCAAGATGAGGAAGAAGTAACGCTGTTGGTGCTGAGTCAACGACCACTTTCACTCACATCTTTTCTTTTTCTTTTCCTCTTTTTTAAATTGTATTTTTTTTCCTTATCTGTCTCTCCACTGTAGAGGTTTACGGTATAGAATTATATTAGTAATTTTTAGTAAAATTTAATTAAATTTAATTTAATTGATGTAGGGCCTAGTGTGATGGGCAACTCTCAATTTTCTTGTCAGTTTTGCGTATTAAATACATTTGGGTAGAAGTCCCCCTGTTGTTTGTTTCCTCTCAGTCCCAATTCAAAACAAATGTCCTTGACTACCAAAAATAAGGCAAGATTTCCTAAACCAATTAAGTACAAAAATGGATGTGATGAATATTAAATGTGATGCGTGTAGTTTAAAATATAAGTAACGGAAATAATGATGCTTATACAAATGTGAGTTGTTCTTTTATACAGTATTAGATAATTACTGGAGTTGGGACTCAAATCATATGAGGCTCCATCTGAATTACTGGGTATGTTTCTGATAACAGGAAGGAACCGTTCTTAAGAAGGGTTCGTTGTTGGCGAAACAGGGCCCACACCATTCTTTTTGGAAATCCGAAAGGAGGTTTCTTTTGCACAGTATAATACTTGGAATGCCAAAGAATCATTCTTCGTACCAATGAACTGTTCTACTTAGGGTGATTCTTACAGTAGATACAAAACAAATAGTGGCCCAATCTTTTAAGTTAGATAATGTTAGTTGTATATATGGGTTGAAGAGATTAGACAATTTTACTATGTCAGGTGTATAATATGAC